TGCTTTGCTGTGCACCTGCTGCAAGGAGCTGCCGTGGCTGGGGCACCTCCAGCAGTTCTTGCGGTTCATATCTCCTCCCAGCAATGCCACACAGCTGCCGTAAAGCCCAGAGTGCAGTGGAACAGCTTTGCGGTGTTGTTATAAAGATAAGAGCTGTGGCTGACTGGCAGAGCCTTCCCTCCGTGTTTTCAGCCCTTTTGAAGGCAGCCTCATCCATCACACCTCGCCCTGGGCTGTGCTCGCCCAGCTGAGCAGAGGAAATGCTGAGCAGCCCCACCTCCCGTGCAGCATTCAGGCGCCGCAGGGCTTCCTCAGGAAGAGATTTGAAGTGTCTGCTTCCCTGCCTGCTATGCTGGCTGCCCTTGGTCATCACTGAATGGCCTGAATTGGAAGGGACCCCAAGGGACATGAATCTCCAACCCCCTGCCACAGGCAGGGCCACCAACCCCCACATTTCACAGCAGCCCAGGCTGCCCAGGGCCCCATCCAACCTGGCCTTGAACACCTCCAGGGATGGACGGGGCATCACAGCCTCTCTGGGCAGCTGTTCCAGCACCTCACCAATCTCATAGGAAAGAACTTGTCCTTGGGCTTTGTGCTCCCTGGCCCTATGGGCAGAATGGGTGCAGCCGTCTTGCTTCAGGAGCCACTTTTAATCAAGCTTTCCTGCTTGCTTGGTTTGCTCATTGGCTTTTTCTCCTCCTACCCTAACAGTTCTCCCAGTCTAAGAGAGGTGAGGAAAGTTTCCCAGCTCCCAACTGCTGGCGTGGGCTAATGATAGTAACAGCACATAAGGCTTTGCTTCAGCTGATACAGCCCTGCTGGCTCTCCTGAGTGAGCTGGGCACCTGTTTGGGTTTGGGCTGGAGGTTGCTGTGCATGGTGCTGGGAGCCTGCTGGACTTTTTGCTTTTTTCCATCTCAGAGGCTTCATCTGTCCCTGCACCCGGGCGTGCTCTGCCGTCCAGGAATCACGGCCGCATGTGGATGGTGATCGTTGCAGGTATGTGAGACTCAGAGCACAAATGTGGGCAGGTTCCCCATTGCAAGAGGTGCCTACGTGACCGGTGTGGTAAGAGACTGGGTCTCTGTGTCCCCTGTCTCAGCTGGAGGAAGGAGCTGATGCTGCCCTTCTGCACATGCACAAATGCAAGTCCCACCTATTCCCCCCTCACCTGTAATCCACTCCTATGTATGTGAAATGCACCTTTTGGCAATAAGGGTAAGGACTGTGACTCACTGGTCTGGTGTGCACCCACCACACAAATATTGTTGGGTTGGAAGCTATACTGGAGCTGAGGGTGATGATCTGGATTTTCTTTCCCCCCTCCAATCCAATCTCTTTTTCTCTCTCCTTATCTCTTTTCTCTCTTCTCTCACTTTTCAAGCTAAATTAGGATGTAACACAATGCATATCATCACACCTAATCACCAGTAATGTACGGATAGGTCAATATCTTCATCCCTGCAGGCATTCAGGGCCAGGCTGGATGTGGCTCTGGGCAGCCTAGTCTGGTGGTTGGCGACCCTGCACACAGCAAGGGCTTGGAACTGGATGAGCACTGTGGTCCTTTTCAACCCAGGCCATTCCATGATTCTATGAAATATATATCTGCATTTTGTGCTTGGTATTATAGTGTAATACATATCAACATTTGTTTGGCAGGGTTTCACCTTAATTATCCTGAGGGAGTGTCAAAACCTCAGAGATCCTCCCCTAAGGCTCCATGCAATCTGGCACTAACACTGCCGTGCTCTTTGTCCATTATTCTTCAGGCTGCTGGTCTCTCATTAATGCTATCGAGCAGCAGTGCCTGGTGCAGATATCCAGGCACAGTGAGTGGTTCTCTGCTTATGCGCTCTTCTCTTTAGTGCTCCTGAGCTGCCTGGTAGCTGTGGGTGGTATCGCTGCATGGGGGAAGTCCAAAGCAAAAAGCAGGTCTGACATCTTCAGTCTCGAAAATGCCTCCAGGGAGCAGTTGGTGCCTGACAAGAGCCAGGCAGACCTGTTCTCCTGACAGGTAAGTTCTTTGCCCCCACGTGAGGGAGCACTGCTTCCTGCCCTGTGTTTCTAGCACTAGAGCTTTCCCTTGGGTAGCTTTTCCCAGCTCTCTGTGCTGCTGCTCAGCCACACACCCGCCGTCTCAGTTTGCCCTGAAGCAGCAGAGCTCTCGCCTTCCTCACTACCAGACATGAGAGCTCCTGTTTGGCTGCAGGATCCCTGCATGACCTCCTGTGAGAAGGTGCTGCCTAGTTTTGGTACTCCTATGTCCTTCCTGTGCTGCTGAGGGCTCTCAGCACTCATGCTAGGGCAGATTTCCTGCTGTGGGTTGATTTCCCAGACTTACAAACTGAATAAAACTGGATTTCACGGCAGAAGGGCTGCCAACAACCATGGTCTTGTTTCCTGTAACAGGGATCTTTCTCTGTGAGGTGGTAAGATGGGACTGAACTGCTCTCCCTGCTGCTCACCATGGAAGCTGGCTGAATTTGGACGTGAATCTGATTTGCTGTTGTACTCGGATCTCCCATTGGAAATGACTCTTAGATGGTAGCACTATGGGACTCGAAACAGGACAGGACCTTCCCCAGTGCTGTGAAGTCACCCCTCCTGCAGATCACAGAAATTCCCTCTTTTTGCCTGCAAGGATTATTCTTGCTTCTCTTCACCGTGGCCTTCAACCTGTAGGTTTAATTCTCCATGAAGGCGCAGTGCCAGGTGCTGCTCTGCCACCCCTCTCAGCAGAGCTCACTGAACCCACACACATCAGATGTGCGCTCCCTGAGCCTTCTTTTGCTGGGGGTTTTGAGTGTTTGGTGTCTTGCTTTCAGCTTGAAATAACGAGTTCCTTGAGTCAAATGCTGTGAGAGCTCTGCTCTGTGAGCTCTGCTTTGTGGTTGTTTCTGCATGGCTCTGTGCTGTGCTCTTTGTGTAACTGACAGTGTTGGAGTTGTGTTGTGTCACCCAGCAGCAGCTCAGCACCACGCAGCCCCTCCTTCCCAGCAGGAGAAGAAAAAAAAAAAAGAAAAGAAAAAAGAAAGTAATTAATTTATATATATTTACAAAACAAATGCTGCACGATGAGTTGCTCAACACCTGCTGGCTGGTGCCCAGCTGGAGCACGGAGTGTTAGCAGTGTTCTTTATGTCCTTCATTCCCCAAAGCACAGCACCACACCAGACACTGAGAAAGCCGCCCTGTCCCAGCTGAAAACAGGACAGGAGATCCCTGACCTGTGCCTCTAATTCAGTGCTGATCTCTGTTCCGTGTGCTCCTTGCCAAGGGCTCAGTGAGTGCACAGAGGACACAGAGCTGCTCTGTGCTGCTGGGCTGAGCAAAGCTTCCCATCAGTCCCAGAGCAGGGCATTCTGTTCTTGTGTCGCATGTAAGTGTGCAGCAGTCACCCACGGAGCAGCTGGGCACATTGCAGCATCGGTATTTGTTGCACCAAGAGGTTGTGTGCGTGACCTTGGGGACAAGCAGAGGTGGCTGTTGGGGAAGGATATGGGAGAATAAAGAATGGAAAGCTGGAATGACTTCTGAATTTGCCTGTTTTTTGCATTTCTTTTGTCTCTGTGGGCAGATGGGGACAGCAGGAGCCGGGTCTGAGCTGGAGCAAAGGGGAGTTTTAGGGTGAATGTTAGGAGGAAGTTTTTCACACAGGGTGGTGAGGCACTGGCACAGGTTGCCCAAGGAGGCTGTGGATGCCCCATCCCTGCAGGCATTCGAGGCCAGGCTGGATGTGGTTCTGGGCAGCCTGGGCTGCTGGTTGGTGACCTGCACACAGCAGGGGTTGGAACTGGTGATCACTGTGGGCCTTTGCAACCCAGGCCCTTCTGTGATTCTGTGACTGCGGTGTGCAGTGGCTGAACTGGGGAAAGTGAAATTTTGGGAGCAGGGTGAACGGAGCAGTGGGTGTGAGGTGTGCAGCTGGCGCTTACAGCGAGCTGCTGCAGCTGAACAGGTGACAAATGGAGCTCTTAGCCTGAGAATAAGGTGGAGAAAAAACTGCCTGAGCTTATTCCTTCTGCTTTAGAGCAAATGAAAGGCATGGGGCGCCCGGCAGAGCAGGGGGTGCTTCAGGTGTCCCAACAGGACTGAGGGAGGTCTGCTGGTGGTGTCGGGGCTGTATGGCAGAGGTCAGCTGTCAGCAGCCTGTCCTGGATCATCCTCTTAGCTTGAGCTGCTGAGCTGAGCCGTGCTGTGCTGCTCTGCTGGGCTCTGTGCTCAGCAGCGAGGCTGCAGTGTGAACGTGGGACGGGCAGCTTCTTCCCTCTGCAGGCTTAGGTTGGCTTTGCTTACTGACCCCTGAGTGTTTCAGGCTTGAAAGCAAGCTGGTGTTTTGGGTTTCAGACAAAAACTTGGAATGCATCTGTGACAGTGATTTCCCTTCCTCTGTTCTGTGCCAGAAACGTTTCTCTTCTGTTCTCTGGGCTCAATAGCTTTGATTGTTGAGGGCTGGAGCTGCTTTTCAGCCTCGTGGCAGCTTTGTGGGGTTCTGAGGGCTGAGCTGGGGAGGTGCTGAGTGCTTCCCTCCTCTGGGTGATGGAAGAGATGGGACAGGGGCAGCTGCATTAGTGCTCACGTGCTGAACCAACAGCTGGGGCCAAGAGCTGCATCTGCTGTGGATTTACAAAGCTGGTACCGACCTCATGCCTCCAACACCAGGGGTGTCCTGCTGGGCAATGCTGTGACGTGCACCAAGCACACACAAGTAACAAAAACAGAATAAGGGAAAAGTGCAAGGCTGGAATTAGTTCCTTATATAAAGGATTCGTGCTCCAATCTCATTAGCGTCTTAAGGAGCGGACGCTCAGCTGCCTGCAGCTCCTGCAGTGCAATCTGCTCAGCAATCAGCTTTGGGAACCCAGCAGGTGCCTCCACACAGCCAGGGCCCGTGGGCAGCAGCTCGGGGCAGTGTCCCAGCTGTCGGTGTGTGGGGCAGCACGGCCATGAAGCCACGGCTGCCATCCCACACGCCATAGCTGGGATAGCATAGCAATGGGGCAGCTGGGGAGGAGACGCGCGAGTCTGTGTGCCAGCCTGAAGCCTGCGGCACGGTGGGGCGGCCGGACGGCCGAGGAGGAGGAGCTGCACATCCCGTTTGCACAGGACAGCCTGGTGAAGCAATGGAGCTCCATGCAGAACGTGGCAGACCGGAGCCAGGAGGAGAGCAAGGTCCCAGTCCGGAGGAACAAGTACTTCCTCAACATCAATGTGGGTGGCAAGCTGTTCCACATCGCCTGCAGAGTGGTGGCCCGGTACCCCGTCACCAGGCTGGGGAAGCTGGCCACCTGCACCGACCCTACGAAGAAGCTGAAGCTCTGTGATGACTACTGCGTGCAGAGGAACGAGTACTTCTTTGACAGAGACCCTTCCATCTTCCACTACATCTTCCACTTCTACTGCAGCGGGGTGCTGTGGATAATGGACGAGATGTGCCCCAGCAACTTCGTGGAGGAAATCGAGTACTGGGGGATCCACCTGAAGCACGCCCAGCGCTGCTGCCGGATCCTGTTTGAGGAGAAGCAGGACGAGCTCAGTGAGTACCTGAAGATCCAGAAGGAGCTGGAGGCAGAGCTGGAGCCCATGGACTCGGCAGGGCAGTTTGAGGGCAAATGCTTGGGGAAGTTCCGCAGGGCCATCTGGAACCTCATTGAGAACCCGTATTCATCCGTCCCGGCCAAGATCATCGCCGTCATGTCCAGCTTCTTTGTGCTCATCTCCATCGTGGGCATGACGCTGAGCACGGTGGAGGAGATGAAGCACAAGACGGGGAAGAAGTGGATGGAGCAGATGGAGATGATCTGCGCCATCTTCTTCACCTCCGAGTACCTCATGCGGCTCATCTCCTCCTCCAGCTTCAAGAACTTCCTGCGGGCGGCGCTCAATGCCATCGACCTGGTGGCCATCCTGCCCTTCTACATCCAGATCCTCTTTGAAAACCTGGACGAAGGAGAGACGCTGTACCACGAGGAGCTGCACAAAGTGGAGAACGTGAGCAAGCTGGGCAAAGTGCTCAAACTCATCAAGCTGATGCGGATCTTCCGCATCCTCAAGCTGGCACGGCACTCCACGGGGCTCCGCGCCTTCGGCTTCACCATGAGGCAGTGCTACCAGCAGGTCTGCTGCCTCTTCCTCTTCATCGCCATGGGGGTCTTCACTTTCTCTGCTCTCATGCACTCGGTGGAGCACGACGTGCCGGGCACCAACTTCACCAGCATCCCCTACGCGTGGTGGTGGGCAGCGGTAAGGAGCGGGCGGAGGGCTGCGGTGTGGCTGTGGGATGGGGTGGAGGCAGCGAGGAGCAGAGCTGAGGATGCCAGCCCTTCTCTTGCCCCACCTCCTTGTGCTCCTTGTGCTCCTTTTCCCAAGCAAACCCACGCTCAAACCTCATCTCCTGCCCGAGCCCTGGGCTGCAGCACCCCCAGTCTGCACGGCTCTGTGTCAGTGCGTCGCCCCATACTGGAGCTGCAGTGTGGGTGGGTGATGGACGTGCCGGGGGGAGCAGCTCAGGCTGCAGAGCAGCTCGTGGGGCAGCAGCAATGTCAAACACACAGTGCTTCATCCTCTCCATTCCTTCTTCAAGGAGGACCACTAAGATGGTCTGGAGCATCTCTCCTATGTTTGGCTTGGAGAGGAGAAGGCTCTGGAGAGACCTCATTGTGGCCTGCCAATACCTGAAGGGAGCTTATAAACAGGGGGGAGAATGGCTGTTTATGAGGGTAGATGGTGATAGTATAAGGGGGGATGGCTTTAAAGTGAGACAGCGGAGGTTTAGGTTGGATATCAGGAGGAATTTCTTCACCCAGAGGGTGGTGAGGCACTGGAACAGGCTGCCCAAGGAGGCTGTGGATGCCCCATCCCTGCAGGCATTCGAGGCCAGGCTGGATGTGGCTCTGGGCAGCCTGGGCTGCTGGTTGGCAACCTGCACACAGCAGGGGTTGGAACTGATGAGCAATTATGGGCCTTTGCAACCCAGGCCGTTCTGTGATTCTGTGATTCCCCCCCAGGTCAGCCTCTCCACCGTGGGCTATGGGGACACAGTGCCCGACACGGTGCTGGGCCGGATTGTGGCATTTGGCTGCATCTCCTTTGGCATCATCCTCAACGGCATGCCCATCTCCATCCTCTACAACAAGTTTTCGGACTACTATGCCAAGCTGAAGGCACACGAGAACGAGAGCAGCCTCTCCCTGAAGCTCTCCAGGCGGCTCCGTCTGAAGCAGCGCATCCTGCAGAAGCTGTCGCAGTGCTGCTGCCCCGACCCCAGGCATGTGGGGTACTGAGCTGGGGAGCAGCCCCGGCAGCAAGGTTTAATAAAGCAGCCCCAAACCGTGCTTTGTCTCAGGTTTTGGCACAGCGCAGCAAGCGTGCTGACAGCAGGGAGTCAAACATTCCCCCTGTTCACCAGCTCCTGCACGCTGCTGTGCAGGGCCGCTAGGATGATCAGGGGACTGGAGCACCTCCCCTGTGAGGACAGGCTGAGGGAGCTGGGCTTGTTCAGCCTGGAGAAAAGAAGGCTGCGGGGTGACCTCATTGCTGCCTATCAATACCTAAAGGGAGCCTACAGAGGGGAGGGCAATCAACTCTTTGAAAGGGTTGATACCTGTAGGACGAGGGGAAATGGTTTTAAGTTGAGGGAGGGGAGATTCAGGTCGGACATCAGGGGGAAGTTCTTTACCCAGAGAGTGGTGAGATACTGGAACAGGCTGCCCAGAGAGGTTGTGGATGCCCCGTCCTTGGAGGTGTTCAAGGCCAGGTTGGATGGGGCCCTGGGCAGCCTGGTTTAGGATTTAACGTGGAGGTTGGTGGCCCTGCATGTGGCAGGGGGGTTGGAGATTCATGATCCTTGAGGTCCCTTCCAACCCTGACCATTCTGTGATTCTGCTGTGTCCAAGCAGGAGCTTTGCTGTTCTCTCAAAGCGTGGCACACGTATGGCATCGTGCTCTCACCCCCCTTGTGCTGCTTGGAGAGCACGGCAGCGCAGCAGCACCCACTGCATCCATCACCCACCCCACGGGCAGCATCACCACAAAGGGAGCCCCACTGACAACAGTACGTTTAATAGTTCCTCTGAGTTCACTTTACAAAACACAGCACTGTACAGACATTTACAGGACACCGATTTCAGTCATATATTAGTGCTCTCACTATATACATATGGTACAGCCACTACAGGTGGGAAAACCCACACAACCCTGCACAGAATCAGCCCTGAGTCCAACCCTGAGCCTTCCCAGCACCAACGGGATCACAGCTGTGCACCCCTTTGCTTTGTTCTGCAAAAACCCACAGCGGTGCCAAAGAGAGACCGTGCAGAGCTGCTCTGCAATGGGGGAAGGAATCTCTGCATCAGTGGCAGCCGCAGCTCCCAGCCACCATGTCATCATACTGCTTGAGGACCACGTTCTCATCGTCATCAAAGTAGAGGAGGTTGATGGAGTAGAGCTTGTCAGGCACGCAGCAGGGGCTGCTGACGCCCTCGCTCAGCTTCAGGGCGTTGATGATGGACTGCACGGTGGCGTGGTTGGTCGGCCTCATGTTCTCACCCAGGGGGAAGGGACAGGAGCCTCTGCAGTGGTAGGCATTGTAACCCCGGGGGGAGATGATCCACCCAGACCAGCCGATCTCCTCGAAGTCCACAGACAGGGGGTGCCTCTGGCACGGCTGCAGGCGGTCCAGAGAGCGTGCGCTGCGCGGCCCGGTCAGCTTGGCAGGGAAATCCCGAGGCTGTGAGGCTGTCAGAAATAAGAAAACGATTCCATCAGTGATTGCATGAGCCTGAAAGGAGAGAGGAAGCGGAGCGGCGGTGTTGGCCACCCCTCTGCGCAGTCGGTGCAGAGCCACCAGGAGGTGACAGCTCTGCAGCCCTACGGTGGTCATCAGCGCGGCCACAGCTCTGAGCACGGCCGCGTTCAGGCTAAGGCAGAGCTGAAGCCTGCATGCAGGGACCTGGGCACGGCCCCCTGCTGTGTGGCACCCACCTGGGACCCCGGCCATGGGCAGGGATGCTCCTCGGCGCCCATCATCTGTGAACAGGACCAGCATGGGCTTCTTGCTCTCATGGTGGTCCCCGCTGGATGCGAACTGCACAGCGGGGGCTTCGAGTGTGCTGCCACCCAGGCTGTGGACCGTCACCAGCAAACCTCGGTTGCTGCTCTCATCTTGGGTCCAATCCCGAACCTGGGGAAGCAAACACAGTGTCACCACGGTGGGATGGGGCTGTGGCAGTGTCCCCATGTCCCCAAAATGTGTCACAGTAGACAGCAGCAGTACCAACACCACAACGGGGCGCCCACCCGCACTCCCACCCCTCCCCACAGGCTGCACACCCCAACCTCAGGTGGGCACTGCATGCCCAGAACGGGGTGAAATGGGTTAAAAAGGCTCTTGGATGCAAAATGACCATTTTTTCTCTCTGTGCCATCCATACACCCGGTGTAAGAGCACTCACAGCCTGCGTGATGGCAAAGACCTCCCAGCCCGAGCCCTGCAGTGAGAGCAGCCTGCTTGCCAGCAGCTTCTGTCCTTTGGGGGAGTCCGGCTCAGCCTTGTCCAGAATTTGGTACACGCTGACCTGGGGATGGAGGCAAAGGGAGGTGAGCAGCCATGGCGTGGGGGGGTTTGGAAGTGGGTATTGGGGGGAGGGCGGGGAAAGGATGGAGACGGGGAGAAAGCGGCGGCGGCAGCGCTGCTGGGCACAGCGGGGCACGTCCCTGCCCCCATCCACACCTCATGCCCCCTCACCTGGCAGAAATGGTCGTTTTGGGGTCCCCCCCCCCCCTCACCTGGCAGAAGTGATGCCTCCTGGGCCCCTCGGCGGCTCTCGGCCACAGACGGAAGAGGTGCAGCTCCGCCGTCAGGATCTTCTCATTCTTGGCCACGCTGGAGAGGACAAAGAGGAACCGCATCTTCTCACCTTGAGCTGCGGGGAGGGACGGATCGGGAAGTGAAACCAAACGGCTCCATCCCACAACTCCCCCCCTCCCCCCTCCCCCCAGCCCCAGCACCGCAGGGACCCCCTCCCCTTACTTCTATCCAGGAAGCTGCGCACCGTGTTCCCCTCCAGGACGTCGGGGTTTTTGGTGACGCCGTCGGCGTTGGCCACCGCGTTGAACAGATCCACCATGAACTGCGGCGGCTGTTTGACGTGGGCCGGGGGGGGCGGGGGGTCCTCCATGCCAAAAACTTCCAGCAGCTTTTTGAGAGCCTCGGCCCTGCGGCTTTCCGTGGATGCCGGCCGTGCCAAGGCCAGCAGCAGCAGCACGGCGCCCAGCATGGCTCTGCTGTCCCGGCTTCGCTCCCCTCTGCAAACCCGGCGCCGCATTTATAACTCGCTGGAAAGATGGATTGGAGTCAAATATGCACATGGGCGATCAGGAGGGTAAAGAGAGCTAATCGCCGTGCTAACAAGGTGCAAAGATGGGCACCCTGCACCAATTAGCCCCAGTACACAACGGGAGGGGAGGGCTGGCAGCAGCGCTCTGGGGGGACGCGGGTCCGGCTGCGAGCCTCGGCGCGGCGGCCCCGACTGCCTCTGCTCTCCAAAGGAAACCGACTGGATTTTAATGGCAGCACTCATGGGTCCAGAGCACCGCAGCCAGGCTGGACCGGGCCGCATCCCCTCCTGTCCCCATGCTCTCGCGGCTGTGGGATCGGTGCGATGGGATGAGAGCCCAGCCCGTGCCCACCCCTCCCCCCCCGGCAGAGCGAAAGCGGCCGGTGAAGGCAGCCATTAATGCAGTGCATCCAGAGCTGCATGGCCAGCTGGCATCTGTCATTTACCCCAACCCCACATTCTGATGGTGAAAGGGCCATTAATTATCCAGAATACACAAAGAGGCAACGACAGGCTTGGGTTAATTGGCAGAGGAAACTTCACATCCTCCACATCCTTTCCTTCCCCTTCCCTGCCCGCCAGCAGCGGTACATCCCATAGGACTGGGGCTGCTCCCCCTCCCACCCCAATTCTGCCCATGCTGTGCACAGAGCAGCTGGCCTTGCAGTGCCAGACGCCACACGTGCAGGGCAGCATCCCGGGACGTGGGGGCAGAGCTGCCAATTGCCTGCAATATTTACCTTACGAGCTGCCAACCATTTTGCAGAGGGTTCATTTCTAACGAGCCCTGCTTAAACCAGCGGCTCTCATTGATAAAAGTCACCTTCTGCCATTTACATACAGCACAGACAGTCTGGCGGGGGTCTCACAGTGGCCCCACCTCACCCCCCCACCCCTGCGCTGCCAAATAGGCCCAGAGCAGCCGTTTCTGTGCAGAGCTGTACATCCCCCCACCCCCTGTGCCCCAGCTGTGCTTCATCACTCAAGGGCCGTCTGTCCCTTCCTCTCAGTGCAGCTCAAAGCGCCCATGCAGAGCTGGGATTTCTGTCTTTGGGGGGCTGACCTGCACCCCCGTCCCTCCTCAACCAACCAGTGGAGCATCCCTCTCTTGTCCCCATCCCACCCCACAGGCATCAGAGCAGCTCTGATGTCAGGGCAGCATCTCTCAGCATCTCCTTCCCATCCGCATCTGCTGCCGTGGGGCCCCATCGTCTCCATTGAGTTACTCTTCAGCCCGCTTCACTGCACGGCTGCACGCAGCCAAAGCAGAGGCTGCTGCCCTCGATCTGCTCAGCTGTTATCCCCAAAATCAGCCCAGGAGTTGCAGGGCATCACTGCAGGGCAGTGGGATGGGGCAGCAGGCAGCTGTGCTTACCTAAGCAGGCGGGGATCCGCCGAGGAGCAGCAGCTCCTTCCCACATCAATTTCCTGCAAAGATTTGCAACACAAAGGCACGAAGATCCCCCTCAGCACCTCGCTGGGACACCCCGGGGGACGGCCCCAATCCACAGCCCGGGGCAGGCAGACCCACAGGGAGGAGGTTTTGGGGATGCGGAGTCCAAGCATTAAACTGCTTCTCAAATAAATCTCTCTCTGCTCCCTCAATCGGCTTCGGAAAGAAACCCTCAGCCCCCAACGAAGGCTGCTGGCTGCTTTCAGGCACCGATGGAAAAATCCTTGAGAGCCCCAGGCTGCTGCAACGTGGGACGTTTTTACCACGATACCTCGTGGCTGAGGGGCAACAAGGGGCTGCCCTGCCCCCCTGCTGCAGGCAGGGACCAACCTCAGGAATTGCTCCTTCACCCCACAGCTCCCCATGCTGCCATCACCTCCCGTGGGTTTCCAAGCAGCGTGCAGGAAGAGAACGGTAACAACCTTCCCCAGGACCCCCGTTCTCCAGTGCCAGGGCTGAACGTTCAGCTTTGGCAGCAGAAACGCAGAAGGAAAACGCCTTCAGGGCAGTGGGAAAAACAACCTGGGGGTCGGCGGGCATTTCCCAGCTGGGCCGTTATCACCGAATGAGGCACCATCCACCGACCAGCCTGGGGACAAATGCACCTCCCTGGCACAGCTGTGGGGCACAGGGATTCTGCCAGCCCTGGAAAGCAGCACTTCACACTGCCTGACAGCCTTATGGAGCAGCAATGTGTCCCTGCAGACACATTGGATTGGATGGATGCCATTCCCTCTGATCTGCAGACTCGCAAGGCAGCACCAAAGGGACCCAACTCTGCTTTACCCCAGCAGAAGGTTTTGCTCTGGTTGGTACAATTGAGTTTGCAGTTCTCATTTCTAAGTGATTTTGGCACCACCTGTGCTGACATTTTACAGCTGCACAGGGAACTGAAACCAGAGCTGCTCCTGAAGGTCCTTGGTGAACAAATGGATCCATGTCTTCCTTTCAGGACATCACTCCAGTCTTCCTGAGGCAGCTCATGGGCTCGGCCCAAAGGCAAACCCTGACTGATCTGCTGTGGGCAAAGCTGCCCAGTAAAAAAAGCACAGCAGGGAAACATCAGACACAAAACCATGCATCCCTATGAGCCTGAATCAGCACGGAAGGCACCAGGCAGCTCTCCTCACACCACGATGCCTCACGGGGCCACTTGCTGTGCTTTGGGAAGGGCAAGGAGGGCTGCAGCATCCCAGGTTCTTACCTCAGCCCTCCCTGGTCCGGGAGGTGAGAAGGTGAGCATCTCAGTGACGAATGGCGCTGCTGTCACTGGCACACAGCTCCCACTTACTGCCTGCACAGTGGTGGCATCTCCAGCACAGCAGCCACATCTCGGCTCTGCACACACCTGCAGGGATGCTGGAGAGCAAGCAGGTTTGCTCACAGCCCTCCCCACGCTGCTCTGTCCTTCCCACTGCTTTCCAACCAACGAAGCCCACGGGAGCTCGGCCGCCTCCAAGTCTCATCCCAAAGGGACACAAACCCTCCACCCCCACTGCCTGCATTCAGCGGCTGTTTTACCCACAACTCACATCTGTTCCTCAGCAGCACCAAAACTCAAACCCAGAGAGGTTCTTTGGCAGCAGACAGCACCGTGCTCAGAGATCAGAGGTTGGCTTCAGCCCCACCTGCCCAGCCCAGCAGATCCACCCCCAGGGGAAGCGTTTTGCCAGGTTCAGCAATGAGAGCAAAGGAGAAGAGCAGCGTAACATCAGACATTGCCTCCAAAACCAGGGATTTATTATTATCCAACCGTGATCACTGCGGGCGCAGCCATCACGTCACTGCATGGAAGCTGCACAGCCCCCAAAACAACCCAAGCCTCTCTGGAGCTCATTCGTAGTGCCTGGAGGAGAGCTGGGATTCCTCAGACAGAAACGCCGGGGAAATGCTCAGTAAAGCAAAATGCCACGGGAGAGCATCCCTGCCAAAGCACACTGGTGCCATGGAGCAGCACAGCAGCACTCAGGAGCACTCAGGACAGCAACTCAGCAACCGCCTTTAATTGCATTGGTAAAAAAACAACAACAAAAAAGCCCAACAAAAGACATACAAAGAAAAATACATTTCCATTTTAAGAACATATCTATAAACCACCAGATACGTACAAATCATCAGGTTTGTGCCTCGGGATCTGAGCTCTCTGCTCCGTGGTGCCCTGGAAGGCAGGGCTGGGGAGCAGCCTGCAGTGCAGCAGCAGAACACGGGGCTCAAAGTCATACGAAATACTTACAGAGAAACAAACCACGTGCTTTAAATAATGAACTTACAACGACTTAAACTTGGTACAAAGCATTACGGTTGCCCATTTCAGTGTCTCAGTGCAGGAACTACAGCCAACCCTTGGCATCCTGCCTGCCACCCCACACTGGTGCCTGCAGTCCCTTTCTGCAGAGAACTCCATTTCTGGCCAACTCAGTCCAAAGTACCTAAAAATGAAAACAAAGATAAACCAACACGGCCTCAGAGACCAGAAAGGAAACAGAAATGCAGCTACACGAACAACTGCAACTCGGGGTCATAGGGGGAGATGTGGGTCTACGGGGGGGGCTATATGGGGATGTGGGGCTAAAGGCCCAGATATAGGACTATAGGGGGGAATACGGGGCTATAGGGGTGCGTAGGAGGGATATAAGGGGATAAGGGGCTATAGGGAGCAGTGGGGAGGGGGCACAAGGGGGATATAGAGAGATAGGGATGCTGTGAAAGGGAGTATAGGGGGATACAGGAGCTATGAGTTTATAGGGGGAGGCTATAGGGAGATATGCAGCTAGAAGGCCCAGATATAGGCCCAGATAAAGGGACTGTGTGGGGGGGAAATAGGGGAATATGGGGCCATTGGGGCTGTACGAGGAATAGAGGGGGATATGTGGCTACAGGGAGCAGTGGGGGGGGCTATAGGAGACCATGGGTTTATAGGAGGGGCTATAGGAGGGGTGTGGGGCTAGAAGGCCCAGATAAAGGGACTACAGGGGGGAAATGGGGGATATGGAGCTATAGGGAGCCATGGGGAGGCCATAGGGGGGATATGGGGAGATAGGGGGCTGAGGGGGGTTTAGGGGGAAACAGGGGGCTATGGGCTTATAGGAGGGACTATAGGGGGATGTGGGGCTAGAAGGCCCAGATATAAGCACAGATACAGAGGTTATGGAGCGACAGGGGGCTGCAGGAGGTCTATAGGATACGGGGCTACTGCTCCTGTGCGAGCACACAGCCCTGGGGGAAACCATTCTGTGCCCCTCTCTGCAGAAAGGGATTATAGAAAAAATGCGGGAAGGAACCGAAACTCACCTTCCAAAAAGGCAAACTCATCGACGGCCTCGATGGCGTTATCTGCAAAGGGAAAGGACGGAACGCTACAAAACCAGCCCTGCTCTGTGCGCATCCGCAGCACTTAATGACAGTAAGGACGAGACGCAGAGCTGAGCTCTGCATCATTTCTCTTCCCTTCGAAGCCGCCGGGACGGACGGGACCCCCGCACCCCGCACCGTACCCAGGTCCTTCCTCTGCAGGGTTTTCCTCTTGCCCTGCTGGGCGTACACAAAGGCGTCCTTAGCGATGGTTTCCACGAACAGCTCCTGCGGGCACAAAACGCGCAGCGTCGCACGGAGGAACGGAACGGAACGGAACGCCGCGCCCCGCACCGCCCGGCCCCGCTCCTCACCGCGGCCCGCGCCAGCACGAACACGGCTTCCTGGCTGGCGAGACCGACGTCCGGGTCGGCCTTCACCAGCGCCTTCACGCGGGACAGCGGCAGCCGAGCAGCGCGGCCCGACCCCGCACACGGCACCGCACCGCCCGCATCTTCCACCGCCTCCGCTCCCGCCGCCGCCGCCATCCCGCGCCGCGCATGCGCAGAGCAGCGCAGCGCCGTCGGGCGGAGCTCGCTCACCGCGGTCATTTCCGCACCGCCGAGATCCGCCGCTGGGGGGCGCTGCTCCCGAAACCCGAACGCGGTCCTCCGGGTTCCTCGTGTCCCCAGCGCGGCTCTGCTCCTCTTTCTGTCCCCAAATGCGTCCCTCCATCCGCTCTGTGCCCCAAATCGCAGAACCATAGAACGGCCTGCGCTGAAAAGGATCACAATGATCATCGGTTCCAACCCCCTGCTGTGTGCAGGGCTGCCAACCACAGAACCACAGAATGGCCGGGGTTGGAAGGGACCCCAAGGGTCGTGAATCTCCAACCCCCTGCAGGGCCACCAACCTCCCCATTTCACAGCAGCCCAGGCTGCCCAGGGCCCCATCCAACCCGGCCTTGAACACCTCCAGGGATGGACGGGGCATCACAGCCTCTCTGGGCAGCTGTTCCAGCCCCTCACCGCTCTCACAGCACAGAACTTCCCTGACATCCAACCTCCATCTGCCCTCCCTCAATTCAAACCATTTCCCCTCGTCCTGCTGCCATCTCCCCTTGCACAGAGTTGATTCCCCTCCTGTTTGCAGGCTCCCTTTAGGCACTGCAGGCTGCACTGAGGTCACCCCCAGCCTTCTTTTCTCCATGCTGAACGAGCCCAGCTCCCTCAGCCTGTCTTTGTAGGGAGGTGCTGCAGCCCCTGCTCATCTCTGTGGCTCCTCCAGACCCTCTCCAACAGCTCCCTGTCTTTCTTGTGCTGGGGGCTCCAGCCCAGGCTGCCCAGAGCCACATCCAGCCTGGCCTTGAATGCCTGCAGAGATGGGGCATCCACAGCCTCCTTGGGCAACCTGTTCCAGTGCCTCACCGCCCTGTGTGAAAAACTTCCTCCTCACATCCAACCTAAACCTCTGCTGTCTCACTTCAAAACCGTTCCCTTCTCCTATCACCATCCACCATCGTAAACAGCCGTTCCCCCTCCTGTTTATAAGCTCCCTTCAAGTACTGGAAGACCACAATGAGGTCTCCCCCTCCATCCTCCCTGCACCCCAAACACAGCTCCCCAGCCTCCCTGTGTCCCAAACATGGTCCTCCATTCACTCTACGCCCCCAAAAACAGCCTTCCGTTGTCCCTGTGCCCCTAAACTCAGTCCTCCATCCACACAATGCCCCAAATATGGCCCTCCATCCTCCCTGTGCCTCAAAGACAGCCCTCCCTCCATCCATTCTATTGCCCCAAACACAGCCCTTCGCTCTTCCTTCACCCCACATTTGTCCCTCCATTTACTCCATGCCCCCAACACAGCCCTCTATCTTCCTTGTGTCCCAACCCTGGCCCTTCATCCGCTGTGCCCCACACACAATCCTCCAACCTCTCTGTGCCCCAAACAGCTCCCCACCCTCCCCGTGTCCCAAACATGGCCCTCCTTTCACTCTTTGCCCCCAAACTCAGCCCTCCATCCACCCAATACCCCAAATATGGCCCTCCATCCTCCCTGTGCCCCTGATACGGTCCTCCATCCACTCTATGCCCTGAAACCCAGACCTCCATGATCCCTGTGTCCCATACACAGCCCTTCTTCCACTCTATGACCCAAACCCAGCCCTTCACTCTCCCTGGGCCCCAGCCGTGGCCCTCAATGCTCTCTGTGCCTCAAACACAGCCCTGCAGCCCCCCTCCACCCATTACCCTGACACATCCTTGGCGCCCCCCATCACCCCCAGGCACCCCCCTGCCCTCCAAACAGCGCTGAGGTTCCTCTCATCACCTCTGTCTCTGAATCCCCCCCTACCCCCACCTCCAAACTCAGCCTTTCAGCCTCCCATGCGTGTCCCTCCAGCTCACCAACCCCACAGCATCCCCTGAGCTCCTTCCTCACCGCCGTCCCCAGAGCTCTGCAGGCAGGAGGCGGTGGGGACTCCCGGCCCCAGGATGCAGCTGTCTCGGCCCCGTTGGCTCCCGTTGGGTTTGGTGCTGCTCACCACCCTGGAATTCCCACGGCCGCTGACGGGGCTCTGCTCGGCCCGGCCTGCCGGGGGTGTCCCTTCCCCAGGGGTGGGCATAAAGATCCCCCCGAATCTGAGCCGTTCCGTAGTCCTGTGCCGACCCTACGGCCTCGGGTCGCTCCCAGAGCCCACGTTCGTTTCTGGGCGGGGCAGCAGCGGCACTCGGTGTCCCCATCGACGGCACGGAGCCGCTCCCCGCCACCCCCCTCCATCGCTGTGCAGTCAGGCCGCAGCCGCTTCCTGGCGTTGCGCTCAGCTCCTTGCCAAGCCAGCGTTAGGAAAGAGCTTCTGCTTTCAGCGCCGGGGAGCTCCGCTGCCGCCCGAGGTGTTCACCTCCCTCGGGTCCTTCTGCTCGGACGGCCGCGATGGTGTTCAGAAGGGAGGAGAGCTCACAGGGCAGCGGCCGTGGATGGGAAATGGTGAGTGCGAGCTGCCGGGATGCGTGCGGGAGAACCGGGTCCGACCCGCACCCTCACGTCCTCACAGCCACACATGGGGTCAGTCAGAGCTCCGGAGCTCCATGAGCAGCTCCCGGGGTGGGTGAAGGAGCGGGCAGCACCGGGAGGGGCTCAAACATATCAGAGAGGAGAAAGCACCGCAGTGCCAAAGCTGCTGCACCGGTCGCTGTGACAGCGGTGCCGTTCCCCGACGGCGCCACCGCGGGCAGCTCCGTGTCCCCGTTCACAGATCGGCTCTGACGGTCACGAACACAGGAACGGTTCACATCCAAAACCCCACGGCGTGCTCGGAGCACTGCAGAAATCCCCTTTTATCAGCTTTTTTTTCTCTGCCTTACGTTGTAGGACGCGGCCAATGTGCGCTATTGAGCCCTTGGCGGGCTGTGCCCGGGGCGAGGGGCACCCGTCCCCATTTAATACCTATTTAATGCCCCACATTTGAGCTCTCACGGCTGAAAATGTCGCGCTGGCTTCTCTGCGCTCCGGCCCTTTTGTTGTGAAAGAAAACAAAGTGATGCAAGCGCAGCCCGAACCGAAATCCCGAGAGGAGGAGAACTGCAGAACCCGAGCGGGTGGAGCAGAGCCCCGATGCGTGCAGTGCTGCGACCGGGAGCGGGGGGGGGGATAGAAAGGAAAAGGGAGATGAGGAGGAGGGGAGAAGAGATGGAGGGGAGAAGATCACCTCTCCCCCTGGGTCGGGTCGATCTGGGTCGGTACCCGCGATGCTCGTGGGACAACGCCGCGTCGCGGCCGTGCGCCCCAGTTCTGTGCGCCCATCGCGGGGTGAGCAGCGCAGGAAACGCTCCGCTCAGAAAAGTGGGGCAGATCCGCCGCTTCTCGGCCTCTTTTTTTTTTGTTGTTATTGGTTTGTTGGGGTTTTTTTGCCCTCAGCCAAAACGGCTTCCGGCAGCGCCGTCGGGGCTTTGCTGTGAGGGAGCGCAGCCGCGCTCCTTCGGGGCGGATCGGGGCAGAGCGGTGCGCGACCCCGCGGCATTGGGGCCCCGGCGGCGGTGGGACGTGCCGGGCAGAGCGGCTGCAGGACTGGCCGGAGCTCAGGGCGCTCCTCGCCTTTCAGGCTCGGGGAGGCACCGCCGCGTTCTCGGCTTTTTTCAGTAACGGCAGAATCGGAGCTTTCCTTCATCCCCGCAGGAAAACCCGGAGGGGAAAGAGGCGGCGGGGAGACACCTGAGAGCGAAGCTGAAGGACGGCAGGAAGCCTCCCCCCGCAGCGGGCGGACGGGCACGGGGTCCCCCCTCAGCTTTCCCAGCGACGGAGCCGGGCCGGGCGCTCACGCCGGGTTCCAAGGGGGAGCCGCCCCCCGCGTCCCCCCTCGCCGGGAGGGTGGGAGTCGGCAGAGCCCCTCCGCCGCGCAGCGAAGCTCAAAGTGAGGGGCCCGGCTCCCGTCCGATGCCCGTTCCCCAGAGCCCGGAGTGGATGGCGCGGCTGAAGAAGGGCGTCGCTCCGAGGGCCGCCTCCCAACCCCCCGCGGCCAAGCCGGGAGGACGGGACGCGGCGGACGACAAGGGGGTCGGAGCCACCTCCCATCCCCCCCCGAGGATCCCAGCCCAGCACAAATGGCCGCTGCTCAACGACGCGGCCGCTCCGGCGCTCCCCGCTGCAGGCGCGGCCGCCGCCGGTGGGATCCGGGGCTCGGGGCAAACTCCGCGCAGGAAGCCGCTGCCGCACGCCGCGGTGCTGGGAGCGAGGCCGGCAAAACCCCGGCGGCCTCCGGGGGTGGATCTGGAGAAGTTCCATAGGGCTGCAGCCCCCGGGGAGCCCGGCCGCACTGCTGTGGGGTCGCGGAGTGCTGTGCTGGGTAACGGCATGGGGATGGGGATGGGTGCGGGGTGGGGATGAGGATGGGGTGAGGATGGGGACGGGGTGGGGATGGGTACAGGACAAATGTGGGGATGGGGGTGTGTTGGAGCCGGGTATGGCATGGAGATGGGTGCAAGGATGGGATGGGTACAGGATGAGGATGGGATGGGGATGAGGTGGGGAAGGGGTGAGAATGGTATGGTGTGGGGATGGGGATGGGGATGGGATGGGGATGGGTACAGTGGGGTGTTGGGTGCAGCATGGGGGTGGGGATGTAAATGTGTTGGAGATGGATACAGGTTGGGCTGGGTATGGGAAGGACTGGGTCTAGGATGGGAATGGGCACGGCATGGGGTGCAGGCAGAGCTCTGGCTGACGGGACCACACTGCCAGCTTGGTGTCTTCCTCCCCCATGACGCAGGGCTTGGTGCCATGGGGGTGTGCTGGTGTCCGTTGGGCTCAGGCCCCGCTGAGCTGTGATGGCCTTCCAGAGCTGAGCACATTTGCTGCTTTCTAACAGCTTTAAGCTTCTTTCAAATCCTGCTTCTCCCTCAACTTCTCCAAGTTCTTCTCCACCATCCTGCGATGTTTCCTTATTGCTCATCTCACAAAAGGACTGGGCTGCTCTACAACCTCCTCCTTTCCTCAGGAGAACCGCACACCCCAGCTGCTTTCTGGTGCTGCTCTTCGGGTGTGCTGCTGGCTTTGTCCCCCACCCTGCTCTGCTCCAGCACTGGCCTGGGGGTTCCTGAGCCCCGAGCTGAGCAGCAGACTCCAAAGAACCCCTTGTTGCTCCCTCTGTGCCAGGTTACCCAGCGCCGTTCCCACCGCGGGATGCTCTGAGCACAGCAGGGTCAGTACTGAGTACACTTTTATTTTTGGGGTCTCTGACCGAGTGGGAAGAACACAAGGAGGAATGGTGGGAGGGTGGGTCGGGGCCCCCCGTGATGCAACCCCGGAGGTGCAGAGATCATCCTGGGTGGCTGAATGGCTCCCTGACGGTGCTCTGCTCCATCCCAGAGGTGAGGAGGAGATTTATGACGACGTCGAGAGCGTTGAGCTGCTCAGGAGAGACCGAAGCTTTCCGCCGCCCCCCACGTTCGGGCCGCCAGCACATCTCCACCCCAGAGGAGGTGGGGGCAGAAGGGGTGGGTGTGGGGCAAAGGGGGTCGGGGTGCCCTGAAGGATGGAGGGCGGCCAGTGGGGCCGGTGACATCAGCTCACTTTCAGGGACACAGATGGCACCTGAGGGGCGTGGGCACCCTGGGGGCCATGGGAAGCGATGCTCCCAGCCTCCATCACCCCGTGTAGCCCTTTCCATGCTTGGTTTTACAGGGGGAGGTGCTGCTCGCGCCCCCAGTACGGTTGCGCTGCTGGTTGCTGCACAAAGGTAATGAGGGGGGTGAGCGCCTCCTGTGGGTCTGCTGGGACCCCAAAGTGCTTTGTTGTTTGGTGGCATCCGCTGGAGTTGCAATGAGGGCCTGTCCACAGAGCACCAGCAGCCCTGGGGGAGGGGGGGAACCTCTGGGTGCTGGGAGAAACCCAAGCAAGGGCACTGGGGGGGGGAGGGGGCGAGCCAAACCTTCCCACCATTCACAACATCTCTGCAGAGGAGCTCAGAGCTCCCGAAAGGTGAAGCCGATGACACTCAAGGAATGCAAGAAGGAAGAGAAAGCGGACAGGGAGTTTCAAAAGAAGTTCAAGGTGAGCAGAAAGGAGCGGTCGCTTTTCCCTCTGATCTCCCCCCTCGCTGTGCAGGACGCCGTGCAGAGGGGCTGCGTGGGCCAGGAGCAGGCGGTGCCCAGCAGGCCGCCCCGCTGAGGCTCCCCCAGGACGGACCGACCCACGGCGCTGCGCTTCGGAGACGAGCGCTGTTTCCATCGAGGAAGCGGTTGGAGCTCAGGCAGCCTTTCTCTGCTCGTGTTTCAGTTCGAAGGGAACATCGCCGTCCTGACGCAGATGATGGTCGACCCTGCGACGACGGAGAAGAGGGGCGGGGGGAAGAACCTTCCGCTCCGACGGGGCGAGATCCTGGACGTCATTCAGTTCACCAACAAGGAGCAGATCCTTTGCAGGAACAGCCAGCGGAGGTGTAAGTCGGCCGCTGCCCCACGCTCAGCATTGCTCCCGAGGGATCCCAGCCCCCCTCCTGGAGCTGCTCCGCTCCCTTCCAGCCCCCCTGGGGGTGCGCAGCCCACACACGCTTCTCCCTGCTCTGTTGCAGATGGTTACGTGCCCCGGGCTGTGATGCTGCACCTGTGAGTATCCCTTCCCCAGCCCTTCCTCCCAGCATCAATTCCCCCCGGCCCAAACCCCCCCAGCTGTGGCAGCCACTGGTGGCTGCAGGGAGATGTGCCCCACCTCTGCAGGGGGGGCACGAGGGGCAGAGATGGAGCAGAGCAGCAGCAGAGCTGCCCCATCATAGTGCGAGCTGTGGGAGCCCGGACCACTCACAGCTTCTCCCCCACAGGGACAGAGACATCTACGACGACGTTGATCTGTACGGTAGGTGTGAGTAAAGCACTGCTGGTGCCACGTGCCTCAAGCACAGCCTTCCATGTCCTCTGAGACACCCACCGTGCCCTGCCGAGCGCTCTGCAGCCCAAATGGGGACGGCAGCATCACTGCAGCGCCGATGAGCGAACATCTGTTCCCACCGACAGAATGACCTGGAGCACCACCAGACCCCAAAGGCTGAAGCTCCGATGCTGGAGGGGCTGCGAGGGTCGGCCCTGCAGAGCAGAGGTTTGGGAAGGTCCTTCGGACGGAGCCCCGCGGCGCTTTGTTTGATTTGTGTGAAACGTGGCACTGATCTGTGTGGTGCATCTGTGGTTTTTGATTGGTTTTCTTTTGGGGAGGGGGTTTTGCCCCAACGAAGCACTTCCACCGGTGCAGATGTGGGGTGGGATGGGGTTGTGCTCAGCGCCCAAATGCCGCCTCCACATCTGGAAACAGATCTGAATTCTTCTGGATCGGGGACTGTGCTGGGAACGGCGCTCCATCTGCGTTCCTGGCGCGTGCGGCCCCACGGGAAGGGTTAAAAACCCCACTGCACTCACCCACAGAAAGCCAAGCCCAGATTAACCGCTGCAGGACGTCACTTTCCATTACGGGAAGGGCTCCCAGGGCAGCTCTGGGGCCGGGATTACGGCTGGCACAGCCAGCGCTGCGATGTGCGGGGCGAGGAGCTGCTGCTGAGCGGGGCCATGTGGGAGCGCGTCTGCACGGCGCTGCTGGGCTCGCTGTCCATGGGCTCTGCTCGCCTCTGGGCTCAGATTCGGGCCTTCTGGCACAAGAACGGCCTCCTGACTCTGTCCATGCTGTCGGTGGCCGCCGGCTGCCTGCTGGGCTTCCTGCTGCGGGCGCTGGAGCTGACGGAGCTGGTAAGGATGGGGTGGGAGCAAAGGGAGCACGGAAGGGCTCAGCCCTGAATGCGCAGGCTGCTGTCTGAGGGAACAGCCTCTCACAGGTGGGTTTTCTTCATCTTTTGGCCACAGAGTGGCTGGACAAATCCTGCATCCCTCTGCTGGGGACCCTGCTACGCTGCAAGGGGGTTGGAGGGAGGGCAGCTGCTGCCCTGTGCCCCGGGCTGGGCGCTCACTGCTCCGGGCCAAACGTGGCACAGCAGTGCCTGTATCCCACAGCCCAGCTCCTCTACTGCTGCTGCAGATGCTCAGCATCCAGGCGAGCCCCAGCACAAAGCACAGCAGATTCCCAGAGGTCCCCTCCTGTTCCCAAAGGGCCATTAAATGTCACCATGCTAAAATCACAGCGGTTTTAACTCAGCCCCGATCTGCGGGATGCTCAGCTGCTGCTGGCACATCCCCAAGGTAACCTGTGGGGATTTGGCATTTGTCACTTCAATTACACCCTGCAGCATTACTGCCTGCAGCGAGGATGATCTGACTTAACCGAAGCGGGGTGTAATCCCACTGCACCCCAATGCACGTGGCCGTGAGAGTGGCAGCATCCCGCTGCCCCTGGTCCTGCCCCTACCCCACAGTGGCAGACAAATCCATATGGCACTGGGGAAGGTTGGGCAGGGGATGGATGAAGATGGAGATGGAGGGAGGAAGGGAGGAATGGAGGGAGGGAGGAAGGAAGGGATGGAAGGAGCCTCCGGAAGGACATGGATGGATGGAGGGGCAGACAGATGGAGGATGGGTGCGTGGGTAGAGGGATGGAAGGACGGGCAGTTGGTGGGGGCCAGGGGGAGGGGGGGCAGGTGGGCACACAGAGGGGTGGGGGCATTTCTGCACTCTGCTCCCAGGGAAAAGTGCAGCAACATCTGGAGCGACCAAAGTGTGGCCGTGGGGCCATAGGGAGATGGACCGTCGGGATGGGAACTGACTCAACACCCCTCCTCAGCTCCTGGATGGATTTCCCCATAGGGTGGGATTTCTTCTCCCCAGCAGCTCTGGGGGTCTCCTAGGATGGGCAGGGAAACCACATTATCGCATCTGGGAACCGAGCTCATGTCTGGATCCCACTGGGAAAAAGAGGAAATCTGCCCAGTTTGAGCCCTTCGCCCACAATCAGTGCCCACCTCCCCACTTCCACCCTTCCCAACGCTCTGCTCCCTGCAGGAGAAGCAGTACTTCTCCTTTCCTGGAGAGCTGCTCATGAGGATGCTGAAGATGCTGATCCTGCCACTGATCACCTCCAGGTGAGATATCGCTGTCTGCATCTGAAGGACCATGAGACGGGGCACGCAGCTGCCCGAGTGCGGGTGCCAGGCCCTGAGATCAGGGCAGGGGAGCAGAGCTGGGGCTCACTTGGGCTTCTTTCCCTCTTAAAACTGTGGCACATGGGGGCTCCAATCAGGATCCCCAACGCCGACCCCATGCAGTTTGGGAGCGGGTGCTGAGTTTGGTGTTTCCCGGCACAGCCTGATGTCCGGGCTGGCCACCCTGGAGCCCAGGGCCTGTGGGAAGATGGGGGTGATCACCATCACCTATTACCTTTGGACCACTTTCATGGCGGTGATGATGGGGATCATCCTGGTAGTCAGCATCCACCCCGGCGCGGCCGCGCAGAAGGAGGATTTCTCTGCAGGGAAGGTGGTGCTCAGCTCTGCCGATGCGCTGCTGGATTTGATCAGGTGCGTCGTGGGGTCTGGGAGCAGCGTGGGGGCTGCGGGCCACGACTTCAGGGAATACAGCAGCACATCAGTCCTCCTCCCAGCCTCCTGCCCCACAGAGCCGTGTCCAGTTTCCCTCCAGTTTTAACCTCTATGCTGTTGCTCTCTTCCAGGAACATGTTCCCTTCCAACTTGGTGGAAGCATCCTTCCAGCAGGTGAGCAACCAGCCCTTGGCCTCCCTGCTCTGCAACACAACAGTTGGGCCCTGCTGCCGTGCGGTGGCTTCCCAGTTGCAGTCCTAGCCCCCAGTCCCTATCCCAGCCCAGCCCCAGCCCCATTGCCAGCCCCAGTCCCAGTTTTGCCTCCAACCCCAGTGCCAGCCCATTCCTGGTCCCACCACCATCCCCATCCCCATCCCATCCCATCCCATCCCATCCCATCCCATCCCATCCCATCCCATCCCATCCCATCCCATCCCATCCCATCCCATCCCATCCCTGTCCGTAACCCATTCCCATCCCATTCCCATCCTGTCCCCAAACTCACCCGCATTTCCCTCCCATCCTCACCCCAGTCCCAGAGAAGGTCAGGGAGCAGGGCAGAGGGGTGTGAGCAGGAGAATGAGAGTGATGAGGTTTGGGCTGAAGGAGACGGGGCAGAGATGGGCAGGGTGCAGGGAGAACAGCAAGCTCATGGCACTGGGAGTCTGTGGGCTGCCAGGACGGGGCTGGAGGGGCCCCTCTGTAGGGATCACAACGTTTTCTCATCCCACATTGGGATCCAGCACGGATCCGCCTCAAATGCCAGCTGCTGTTTCCTTGCCCTGGTTCTCACTTCACTGCAGGGCCGCTCACTGGCGCCTGCTGCCCACAGGACAGTAACTTCTGCTTTGTTTCTGTCCCAGTATCGAACTGTTATTGTCCCAGTGGTGAAGTCTCCACGATTCCCAACAATCCCAGGGAAATCCCTCAGTTTTATTTACTTTGCACCGGATGAGGAAAACCCTGAAATCCAGCGACCCGTGTTTCTTGAGCTAACGCCATCTCCCGAAATGACGTACAGGACCCTGCCAGGGACCAGCAACGAGATGAACGTCCTTGGGATCGTCATCTTCTCTGCGACCATAGGTACCTGCAGGAGGAGAGGAGGGAGCGGGGGGAGGAAGGAGTGGGAGGCGATGGGATCAGCGTGGGGCGGATTATGGGGAGAGGTGAGGGCGAGGAGCTTGAGCTCAGCGTATCAGGAACCAAAGAGCCAATCCGAGGATGTGGGGCGGGGGGAGCGTGTTGAGGGCAGCACTGGGGGCAGCGGTGGAGCTGTCAGCAAAAAGCCAGTCCGTCCCTCTCTAGATTCCTCCATCCACAGCCCAAGGGCGCTGCGCGCTGGGTGCTGCTCAGTAGCACAGGTCCATGCGTTGGGCTGCAGGGCTCCTCCTGGGAAAGATGGGTGAGCGAGGAGCGCCGCTGGTCAACGTGTGCCAGTGTCTGAACGAAGCTGTGATGAAAATCGTCTCCATGGCTGTCTGGTGAGTCGGGTCGTCATCGGTTCTGCTCCTTCCCCACCCGCTCGCTGGTGCTGATGCCAGTCCTGCAGTATCTGTTGTGAGCAATGGACTCAGTGCAGCACAGCCGTCCCAAATGCTGTCATTGCTGCACTGCTTAGTCTTTGTGAACGCTTGCCCTCATTCTTGGTAGGTACTTCCCTTTCGGCATCGTGTTTCTCATTGCTGGGAAGATCCTGGAGATGGAAGACCCATCGGTTACAGGCCAGAAGCTGGGGCTGTATGCCGTCACCGTGGTGTCTGGGCTGGCCATCCATGGGCTTGTGTTCTTACCGCTGCTCTTTGCACTCATCACCAAGAAAAACCCCTATGCTTTCATTAGGGGGATACTGCAAGCTTTGCTGATTGCCTTAGCTACATCTTCCAGGTATGAAAACGTGGCTGAAAAATGTGGGTACAGCTAGGAGAGGATGCGGGTAGCTTGTGGGTGACGCAGAGGCACGTAGGGCACGGCAGAAGAGAAGCACTGCAGACATCAAGAAAGCTAAAACATTGAAGGAGATCCCTCCCGGCAGCAGTGGGAAGTGGGATGCTCAGCGCTGCCCTGGTCACGGCACCTTCACACCCTGTTCCAGCAGCCCCTGCATTGCAGCTCCCGGTCTTGCGATGGGCAGAAGGAAGAGTGGCCATTCCCTGCGGGACCCAGCAGGGCTGGGGCTCTGGGTTGTCCCATCAGCACCGCAGCCTTACTGTTGGCCAACAGTGTGCTCTGTGTCCTCCAGGTGCTGTAAGCCGACAAGAAACGGCTTCTGTTGGTACAGCAATCCGTACAACATGACTGCTTAATTTTCTACTGGACTTTCATTCCTACAGCGCTTGCCCAGTAATTCCAAAGGCAGCACTGGTGACGCTGTGGCAAACCATGACTTAACGCTCCTTGCTCTGCAGCTCAGCGACCTTGCCCATCACCCTTAAGTGTCTTCTGGAAAACAACGGCATAGACCGGCGCGTGGCACGCTTTGTCCTTCCTGTCGGTGCCACCATCAACATGGACGGCACGGCGCTGTACGAGGCAGTCGCTGCCATCTTCATCGCCCAGGTCAACGAGTACGACTTGGATCTGGGGCAGATCGTGACGATAAGGTACCCGTGTGCAGCAGCAGGCAGGGAGGTGTGGGCAGTGCATCCCATCCCACTCTCCACCGGCAGATGCGCCCATGGTTGGGCTGTCTGCAGTGCTGGAACCTTCCAGAGCTCACCCTGGTCCATAGAGAACTTCCACACCACCTTTTGAGGACGCTAATCCCGCAGCCCTTCTCTCCACAGCATAACAGCAACTGCAGCCAGCATCGGGGCGGCCGGGATCCCACAGTCAGGACTCGTCACGATGGTCATCGTGCTGACCTCGGTGGGGCTGCCCACTGCTGACATCACGCTCATCATTGCAGTGGACTGGGCCCTGTAAGTCCTTTCTGGGCACACGGTGTGTGTGTCACACCACACGGCAGTGGGGACACACTGGGACTTCCCTCTAGTAGAGGAAATGGGGACTGACCTCAGAACAAGGCCAGAAGCCAAGCGTCAGCTCGTTCCTTTTCCTATTCTTTTCCCAAAATGATAACAATCAGCAAAAACTTCTTACCCGATTGGTCCTGATTGGAGTGCTCACCACGATCACTGTTGCACGCCACATCTTTGCCAGAGATCACAAACAAGTTAAGAAAAAAAATCATGCGTGTGCAAGAGATAGATAGGAAGGATATGGGGATGCCACCAAAGAGGTGGAAAAACGCCACTGCTTAGGATAAAAGCATGAGGTGCTGAATAAAACCATGCAGCAGGAAATGGGCACATCCAATAGGCAGCATCCACCTTCCAAGCTGCACGCCATCGGAAGGGAAATGATACTGGCCTTCCTACACAGACAGATGGTGCTTTCCAAGGACCATCTCCAACCCGCGGGGCAGCCTTGTGCTGGCGGGTGAGGAGCAGGAGATCTCAGGACAAGAAGTTTGGGAGCTCCGAACCCCTCTGCGTTCACTCACTGTTATCCTGGCAGCAGCAGGGACAGCAGGGCTGCACGCCACGCGCTGCAATGCCATGTGGGACCTCTGGCTGCAGCCTCAGTGCTTCTCTCTTCCAGGGACCGATTTCGGACCATGACCAATGTCCTCGGGGATGCGCTGGCTGCTGGCATCATACAACATGTCTGTGAGAAAGACTTTGCCCCAAAGCCCCCAAAGGTACGCCTGGCTGGTTACTCTGGGAGCACGGGGCACTCTGAGGCCACGCAGACACAAAGAACGCGGCTGGTTAAGAAACTGAAACAACACCTTTATCTTTTCTCACAGCAAGACACAGCGAGCGACACAGACAAGTTTCCTTCTGCAGAGCCCCCACTTCTGCATCCCAAAGACAACGTGATCCACCTTGAGGACACTCTGTTTGAGCAGATGGGAGGGCACTACAACATCTGCCAGGTGTAGGTTGCAGCTTTGCCACCCCAGGACGGGACCTCGGTGCTAAGCATTCCCAATGCCACACACGGCTGCTCTGCAAGACAAAGGCCTTATCTGGGGCAGCAAACCCCTCTCCATCCTTTCTACCCTGCTGCCTGGAGCTGAGGACACGACCACACTGGCAGCCCTGCCCACAGCAGCTGGGGTTATGGCACAGCCCTGTCCCCTTCCATGAGGCTGCTCAGAGCATTGGGGAACAGCTACGAGATGATGGCAGAGAGCAGCAGAGGTGGAACTGAAGCTGTCATCTTATGGCAGCAGCCTCTATCTGCTGCCCAGGCTGCATGCCATAAGGTGTTAACAGTTATTTTTAAACCTTTTAATATACACGAACACATACCAATATGTATTACATGTTAATATGTATATATACACATGCATATCTTTTAGGTTCTCAACTGAAAAACAGAGTGTATCTTTTGCCCAGAGCCCAAAGCCAAGGCTGAGTAGAACGGGATGCTGCAGCAGTGATCAGCACACTGCATTAGTTTATCAGCATTACCCTCTGCAGCTGTGCTCCTAAGTTCAAATTCCCATTCCAATGAAAGCCTTAAGACACTGCTCCCAAGGGCAGCCTTCTCCACAGTCTTTTGTACATGCTGTGCGTGCTGCTGGATGCATTTACCTCTTGCAACACCACCACATCCCCCTCCTGCCCCGGGTTGTCATTACTGCCACAGCACAAGGCTGACAGAAACAGCTTAAATTCACACCAACATCACTGAATTTCTCTAAAAGATGACACAACCCACAAGGAAATGAATTGAGTTATTCCTATTACTCAGATGCAGGCAGACAAGATCAGCTAACAAGCTGATGAGGACTGGGATAAGTCCAGCAGCACCAGCAGAGTAATGCATCCATCCCAAAACGTCAGCACGGTGTTCTGCACTCAGAGTAACATGAGAGCACCAGAAGCTGAGGGACAGGAGGTTTCCAAGAGCCATGAAAGCCACTAAGAATGGGCCCAAAGTCACTGAGCAGCACCAGGAGCAGCACTGTCCACCTCTGGGACTGTGGGTGCGACACGTGGGAGTGGGGTGAACTGAAGGATTCTGCTCAGCACACTGAAAACTACTCCAGCCTCAAAGACAGCGTGCACCATATCTTAATAAAGCTGGGAGAGCAACTGGGCAAAGGCAAGGGTTGTCATCTGAACATTATTCTCGCTGAGAAGAATCACCAGAAGCTGCTTCTATGCAATAAAACCTCCATGGAAGCTACTTATGGCTTCTGTGACTATTAACCCAAGGTAGCAGAAGCCCTTGGCTTTGTGGTATCTCCCAAAATTCAGGTAGAAAACCCAACCATTGGCCAAATGAGCCTCATTTGGGAAACGGAATGCCACCAGCAGGTTTGGTGAAGGGGAGGAGGTGACCTAAGGACGACCCACCAAGGATTCTATGATTCTATGACCAGCACTCAGCTCATGCACCTCTTGTTTATCACCGGTGTAAACGCACAGCTGACGGCAGTGGCTATGTTGAAAAGCAGCATTTTGGAGCTGAGAATCTTCTCCATGGCGTTTTGTATCGGTTGCATGCTGAGAAGCATTGCTCCTTTTGTGCACGGAGATCACGGGCGCTTGTTGGGACGTTTGCAAACATCCATCACAAGATGTTCTCAGGGAGCTTAGCTGATCCCTTAATTATCCTGCACGCTGAAAGGAGCAGAAAAGATGTTTCCTTGGAGCTTTGGGTGTGGGTGGTGGATTACAGCCATGTTCTGCTGTATGCAGCGAGGACAGTGGTTGGTGTTCGCAGCTTTCAGGCTGTGGTTGCATCAGAGAAAATGAGAAGCTCTACAGGGAAACGAAATAAGGAAGTAAATGAAAAGAGGGGAAGAGGCAAAGGCAGACGGGTCCCGCCCCACGCTCACCACACACTCACTCCTGAAAGGAGCAGCTCAGATGCGCTGCTAATTGAGCGCGGGTCACCCTGACGTTAGGGCAGATGGGAAAGAAAGCACAGGCCTGGAACAGGGCTCCCAGCCCAACCTCACTTACCTGCGGCCAGCGCACCTCAGAACCTGCTCCCACTGTCCTTCCACGTGCAGAACCAGAACCACGTGGTTATTTGGCCATTCCCCCTCCTCCTCTTGGTCTCCAGAAGTCTGCAGTTGTCTGCAAAGCATTACCCCAAACAAACCACGTTCTGGTGCAAGACTGTTAACAGCAACACGATGCTCCTGTGTTTCAAGAACACTGCTTTGTCTTTGGGTGTTCTAAGTCCGTTTCCATCTCTCTTTCTATCGCCATTTCCCAGCTGCAGGTATTTGCTGTGACAGACCCAACACTGCTGGCACTTCCATCCTCGAGATGTCCAGTGATCCAGGCACAATTCCTCCCCCTCTGCTCCCAGCAGCAATCCAATGCCAATCCTCATCTTTGACTGTTTCTCCTGCCCGCATGGTGGTGATTCCTCCTCTTCTCCCATCCCATCACCTTCAGTGCTAACAGCTGTTCTTCAAGAATGTGGGCACCAACGCGTGGTTCCTACACACAGAGGCTTCAGTGGGAAATAAAACACTGACACAGACACTTTGTGCACAGCAATTCATTTGCTCATAACCAGTTACAAAAGCAGCTCTCATCTGCCTGTATTCCTTCAGACCTTTGCTTTTCCAGCCAGGTACAAGCAATCCACGCACGGAGCTGTTAAGAATGTTTGTCCACATACAGACTGAACAATGTTGGGCTTTAAGACCCCTTTGAATTCAAACCACAGAATTTTTTGTAGCTGAGAATTTGTGCCATCAAATGGTGTTACAGCGTACAGTTGTAGTTTTCAAGGAAATAAACAGGAGGCATTACTTTCAGAGTGACTTATGTATATGTGTGGCACAATCCAACAACACTCAGCCCCTGGCTCTGGTTGAAGCTGGGTTTTTTTTTGTCTCCATACTTTTTTCTTTTTTTTTTTTTCAACAGCAGCTCAGTGCAGATTTCCAATGCACAGCACTGATACTGCTGTAGAAAATGGGACAGAGCACAGCAAGCCCAACCAGAACCGCCTCGTAGGAACAGGTGAATGGAAGCCATCACTGCAAAGGAAATTCTGAGAACTTCAGTCCCATGATGAGCACCACAGGTCCTCAGCTGACTGCCACCATCACTGCAGTGCGATGTTGAATTCCCTCTGCAGCTCTTTTCAGCTGAGGTTGAACATTCAGGCAGTTCTACAGAATGTCTCCTTCTGCAGCATCCTCATTCCCACTGCAGTTTCATCTTCAGCTACAAAGCCACTGAACTGCACTGGTGGTTCGTGGTTTCTGGCCTCCCTTCCATTGCAGCCAGCACAACAAAGCCCTGAGGGTGACACAGAAGCAAGCTAATGCATCCAGGTTGTCAGGTCCCCACCAACACCCTCCCAGTGCTCCCACAATGGAGCACACGGCACGGCAGGCTGCAGATTGCCACATCCATCCTTCACACAAACAACTCCCCAGTCCCCAGCTTCCTACATCCCCTAACCAAAGCACACAAACACAGCACATATACATGGACTTTTTTTAATCTCATCTTCACTCCTGCATGCCTGTGGCACTGTGAAGCACAACTGTTTGATTCACCTTGTGGATTTTCCTACTGCTAAGGCTCCCTCAGCAATTTCCAGTTGGGTCAGCTTTAAGAGGGGGGTTCTCCATCCACGTAATCACCGGTCAGAGCTGTGCATCCAATTCCTGAACATGCACACCTGTCTGTGAGCTCCTCTGGATAACTGTGCAAGAACACCAACACTTCTCATCCTCCTGAGCACCTCTCCTGGCAGGAAGTTCAGAGCTATGGGATCTCCAAGCAACTTCTAGCTCAGGGTTTCATAGCACATGTGATATTTCAAAGCAAAGAAAAACTGAAGGTGCATTCCTGGAAGGGAAGCAAACTGCTGTGTCCTCCCAGGTGAGAATCTCCTCCTTAGCTTCTCCCACTGCCATTTTTCTTACAGCACTTTCCACTTCCAGTACTTCTAATCATCAAAGAAATCCACCAAAATAATGATACTATTTGTGATAAACCCCTGTGACAACCTGTGACCTTTTCCTTTACCTCCACATTGCTAAACATGCTATCCAACACTCGGGTAACATTTTTCCCTGCTGTCCCTCGCTGGGACCAAGGATGGAGCCATCACAGCTCAGCTCAGCATGCAGCCTTTGTTTCCTGGCTTCAGCCTATGGAAACGTTGCAGAGCAGAGACAAGATGGATGGGGTTAAAGTTATGTGTGCCACATCCCTTATCACCCATACACCTATCACTGCTATTTCCTGCTCATTGTTTACCACCCATACCTCAGAGCACACGACTCTTTCCTGCTTTGCATCTGCAATTGCAGTCAGCTCCGTGCACTTACCCTTATTCTTATCACCTCTGCTTTTGCAAAATACACTACGTTCTCCCAGCATGTCATCCTGCAGCACCGTCACCCCTCCCCATCTTCTGCATCTTTTGTGGCTAGCCTGCTCCCCAGCCAATCTCCCAACCACCTACTGGCTACCCATGTCCTCTCATTTGAGCTGACGACACTTGGAACACTTTGGGGGTTTTATTAGGATAGGAACTGCTAAGAATCCTCTCATCACTCTTTAAAAAATAATGAAAAAATTGAAGCAGTATGACAATGTTGTGCTTAATGAGCCGCTGAGCTTCCACAGAGCCATGAGCACCAACAGCAGGAAGCCGCAGCTGCTGCAAGGAGCTTCTCCCTGGGCATCACCCCATCTTCCTCCTTCGGTTTCTGCAAGACAATGCTTAGGAAGGGGTGACACCCTCAGCGCTAAGCAAAGGCAAAATGAGGAGCTCTCCCACTCACTCAGCTCCCTCCTGCGCAGCCCCCCAACCCAGCACCTTTCTTTTGCTGCACCAAAGCAGCTGCAGGACCGTCACTCAGCGGTGCTTTGCAGAAGGTGGGTTTCACAAACTTCAGCTGATGTCAGGCTGTCTAAATTTCACCACTTCAACCCAGCCTATCCTCTCCCCTTTCTTCCTTCCTTGGACATGGCCTTAAACAAATCAGCTTCACGCTGTTCCTTCCCCACAGACCAGAATGCACGCTCACAGAGGAACTGGGAGATTGGAGGGGGACAGCAGAGCTGCTCTGGCAAGCTCAGTATTGATTACATGGACACCAAGAGCTGAACTCGGGCCCAATGTCCCTTCCCCATGGCCACCAGCAGCATCTGGGTGTCCATCCCAGAATCCAGGGATGGGGAGCAGGGCCAGCAAGGCACCCCAAACCTCGCTGGTGTGCGAGGCCAATCTCTGCCACTCACAGATGTTCTTGAAGCTGAGCTGTCTTCCTTCTTCCATTCCTGTAGTAAGAAAGAATGAGAG